TAATTCTAATAACTGTATATTTGACAACCCATTAAAATGTTTTGCATTGGAAAAAAATCAGGAACTTTATAAATGTTATCACATTAGTAGAATATAGAAGATTTCTGGTAAAGGTAGCTAAAGGTAGCTGTCATCCCTAACTCAAAACAAGAAAGGGAAACCCCAGCTCTAGAAATAAAGATGTAACCACACCCCAAGCCTTATGGGGTACAGGCTGTCCATGGTGGCTAAAATACAGAAAAGAACCCCAGGCAGGGGCCTCACTGAGTCTGGCAGGCTCTCTGTAGAGCCTGCAGCAGGTCACAAAAGTCACAGGGATGCTAGCTGCAGTGCTCAGGTGCAGAACTGTGCTGACTTCAGCTTAGTGCGCTGCAGGGCCCTGGGCAATTGACCTCTCAGCCCACGTCCTGGGACAGCAGACTGGCTCAGCTTCTTCTGAAACATAAAGGAAGACAAGAAGGCTCCGCCAGGCAGACACACACGGGGGCAGTGAGTATCACTGAGCCCCATATACTGAGGACCAGCAGGGCCCCGAGGAGTGGAGTCACCTGAGAGTCTGAATGCCACACCCTCTCCTCAGAGGACTGTGACCCCAAACCCCAGGCAAGGACTGATGTCAAGATGGGTCCCTGAAGGGTGGCACCCATAGCCCTGCAGGCAACCCAGAGATTGCTCCTAGGCGCCCCCGGGACCTCCCTGCCAAGAGAAGCTGGGCCAGGCAACACAGCCCTCACCCACCCACGAGGGTTCCCAGGGAGCAGGGCCCAGGGTGCCATGGAAGACCTTCTGCAGAACAGGAACAGGAAATTACTGTTTTCATAACTTCAGACTTGGAAAGAAAAAACAGGCACGGAAATAAACTCAGTTGTTGAATTTAATGCAGCAGACTAGACATAGCTAAAAATATAGTAAGAAGATAAATCTGAGTAAATCACCAAGGAAAAAGCTGATAAGGAGATGAAAAATATTTAAGTGGGACTAAGAGACATAACATTCATGTTTCGTTCTTTCAAATGTTTTAGAATGCCCACTGTGTACCAGACACTACATTGTAGGTGCTAGGGTCACAGCACTGAACAAAACAACCAATCCAAAAGAAAGCAGGGTCTTGAAGAAATACTGACACATCTATGTTCATAACGGCATTATTCAAAATACTCAACAGACGAATCCACCAGCAAAACATGGTCTATTCATACAATGAAATGTTACTCGTCCCTAAGAGGAAGTTCTGACACTTTAGCTGCAATATGGATAACCCTTGAGGACATTGTGCTGAATGAAAGAAGCCAGATACAAAAGGACACATGCAGCTGAGTGTAGAAGTGCTCGCCTAAAACCTAGCACTCAGGAAAGCTGCGGCAGGGAGATCTCAAGCTAGAGCTCAGCCCGGCGACTTAGCAACTGTCTCCAAAATTTAAGAACTGAAAAATAGTTGGGTGTGTGACTCGGAGTGAAGACCTTGGGTTCAGCTCTCAGTATAAAGGGAGGAGGGAGAGAAAGAAGGGAGGAAGGAAGGTGGGAGGGAGGGGAAAGAAGGGAACAGAGGGAAGGGAGGAAGGAAGGGAAGCAGGCAAATCTGCCTCTTTCCACTTACCTGAGGAATTCGGTGGTGAAAATCACACAGACAGAAAGCAGAATGGTTGGGGCCGGGGATTTAGCTCAGTGGTGCCCACCTGCCTCGCAAGGGCAAGGTCCTGAGTTTGATCCCCAGTACCAAAAAAAAAGAAAGCAAGAAAGTAGAATGGTTGTTGCTGGGGGCTGAGGAAGGAGAATGTGAGCTGCTGTTAACGCTTTCCTTGGGCTTGAGAGCATTCTGGAGACGGGCAGTGTGTTGGTTGCAGACTGTGTGAAAGTGCTTAACCCCACAGAAGTGTGTACTTCTTTTTTTTTTTTTTTTTTTTCAACAGTCCTGAGGATGGAACCCAGGGCCTCATGCATGCTAGGCAAGTGCTCTTTGCTGGGCCTCAGGACCAGGGCCACGTGACACTTTAACATGTCTCCATGCACCTTCCCTAGCGGGGAAGGGAACAAAGTCTACTTCCAAGTGACTTACATTCCAAGAGTTCTAGGAGCCCAGAGAGCATAGAGTAAAGGGGATTTTCAAAAGGATGACAGGAAGTGGGGATTTAGCACAGCGGCACCCCGCCTGCCTAGCAAACGCAAGGTCCTGAGTTCGATGCCCAGTACCACAAAAAAAAAAAAAAAAAAAAAAAA